TATAATCTATATTCGTCAGCCTAAACGGGATCATTATCACTCTTGACTGGTGAATTGTCAATCGCGGTATCAGACGTGATCACTTTGGACACTGTTGCTCGTCACTAGTCCGAGTTTTCTACGTCTGGTAGATTTTATTTAATAGAATAAGGGTGACAAATGAGCACACAGTCCACCTGATGCTGTGATAAATAGATATCTACATTTACTCTTGATTAAGAAACACAATGCGTTGTCACCCGTGAGGACTATGATGGAATGCCTCGTTTCCAGTAAAAAGGGTCTCCAATACACCACATTTGACGCTGGTATTCTGTGAGAGCGCGTAGAATATAATGAAAGTTAATATCCGTCAATAATTCCTAAAGTACTACGTGTCCTCAGTCATTATGGACGACGAGGATTTTCAGGTCGAAGCCTCGGATCAATCTACGAAAAAATAGAATTAGTAGTACAAAATTGAGTTTGCCGTTTAATTATATACCGGAAATCGACTCCAAATTTATGATTGATAACAGGTTGTACGTAATCATTTATTAGTCCATCAAAAGCTCATAAGCACCTCCCAGAGTGCATAAGCCACGAACCCTTCGACCTTGAAGGGTTCGTGGCTTATTTCTTAGCACACGTGCATATCAAGCAAACATAAAATCAAGTTAATATAAAGACTTATCAAGATAATAATTAAAACTTAACCATAACTCTTACATGTTATTTTTATTAATATTTTTACGTGGTAAAACCATGCTACATCTACGAGTATATCGTGGTTTTTGCACGATTGGGTGGACTCGACCGGTGAAAGACACGCTCTTACAATAATACTAGCTTAAAATAGCGGCTTGATGCTGCTGTGTTTCGTATGACGAGTGTAGAGAACCGGAGACCCTTTTGACTGGAAATGGGTCATTCCATCTTAGTCCACAGGGGTGACAACTCAGCTGCATTTTAATTCTTAAACGAGGATAGATGCAGATGTCTATAGACCGCAGTATCCACTAACAATTAGGTGAACTGTGCGTTTGTTTGTTAACTTTATTCTATAAAAAAAAACAATTCATATATGCACCATTATAAGTTCTAACTCTGAATACTTTTACGTTTTTATCCTGCCGCTTAATCTCGTAAATCCCGCGTAACCCGCATACGTAAAAAGTTTTTTTCGGAATTTAAAAATCGTGTGGGATCTCGGTATAACGAGATGGGATGTCCTAATTCCATATATATTATGCGAGTTCGTGGAACTTCAGAGCCATAGAATTTTTACTTACTTCCTTTAAGCAACTCTATATTTAATCAGGCGTTACTTGGCGGAAATCCATTATACTAAAGTTGGTAAGAATTAAATTACGTGTTATCGTCGATGTCTTTCCTAGTGTAGTACGAGATTAGTGCACGCAATTGAGGGAGGGCGGGAGGTGCTCTTCAAACTAGATAAGACACATCATTTTATTTTATTAAGCGGATGTGTGCGAGGTAATTCTTACTTCGACTTTAGTAAAATAGGAAGTATTAAGTGACCGAAGTAGAAGAAAAAAGCCTATGGCATGGATATTTTTTAAATTTATTTATCAAAAAAAAAAAAAGGTTTATAAAAATAACTAAATTCAAATCTTTCGCACCTTACTTTACGTGTAGTATCAATGAATTTTTAACGCAATTGACCTAGAACAGGCCGTTAGGTATAAAGTTTTCTTCAAATTAGTGGCATTTTTCCAGGTTCTTGTTAACTCATTTTCATTTATGTCTGTTTGGGTTGAATTTAATAATTATTTTTAAACTAGAACATAGCTTAGAATAGTGTGACAATGGGTGCATTTGGCAGAAAAAAGCGCTAGCAAGCGCTTAAGCGCATTAAAAATCCTTTTTTTCTAATTTCACTTGTTGAAACACCTCTGTGTCCTTTTGCCTTTCGGTCTGTCACGTTATCTTTTATTTTCACTGACTATTTCAAATTAACGATGGAAATTAGGCTTACTTAAAATAAAGTTTAAAAATTTCAATTGTTGATAAATCAATTTGATTGATAAAGAAAAGCAATAAATTTGAAAAATATCGATGCCATAGATTTTTATTTCGTTCAACTATTACACCCTAAAAAAGTCAACAGACATATAAATTGAAAACGTTGAAGCTTCTTCTAATATTCCAGATACTTCTGAAAATAGCGAAGAAAGGGATCGATGCGGATAACATTGTGAAAAACGAGGGGCTGATCCACACAATGGATTTTGTTGATCTCCTTAAGTGAGTACCAAGAAATTCTGAGTGTATTGGCTTGGCTGACTTTATTAACAGTCCGAAAAAGAATTGAGTGTAGTATGTGAATGAAGTTATAGCCTTTGGCATAGATATTTTTTCATTGACAAAATATAAGTTAATCTACGAGTCTATTAATAATAATTGTTACTAACTATTATTGACTAATTAGAATTACAACAAAAATCACATTCACACATACACACACACACACACACACACACGCACGCACGCACGTACGCACACACACACACGCACGCACGCACGCACGCACGCACGCACTCACGCACGCACGCACGCACGCACGCACTCACGCACGTACGCACGCACGCACGCAAACACGCATGCACGCACGCACGCACGCACGCACGCACGCACGCTCGCACGCACGCACGCACGCACGCACGCACGCACTCACGCACGCACGCACGCAAGCACGCACGCACGCGCGCACGCGCGCACGCACGCACGAACGCACGCACGCACGCACGCACGCACGCAAGCACGCACGCTCGCCCGCACTCACGCACGCACACGCACACGCACACGCACACGCACACGCACACGCACACGCACACACGTACGCACGCACGCACGCACGCACGCAAGCACGCACGCACGCGCGCACGCACGCACGCACGCACGAACGCAAGCACGCACGCACGCACGCAAGCACGCACGCACGCACGGACGCACGCACGCACGCACGCACGCACGCACACGCACACGCACACGCACACGCACACGCACACGCACACGCACCCCCCCCCCACACACGTGTTTTTTTCTAAAGTTTGTGTTTTAACTGTCATTACTGAAATATTTACTCAAATATATTTATTTACATGTGCTTTTACATCGTTCAGCTATAACACCAGATATGATTTCCAGACAGTATTAAATCAGCCGGCATACCATTAATAACCTTCTCACCTAATCATTTTATTATTAGGGGATCGGCACGGCGTGGTTCTTATTGGATTCTTATTTTGTTTAATTGTTAATTACCATCACCACAGCTCACTTACACCACCATTCTTGGTCATTATAATTGCAGCCTATCAAGTCCACTACTGAACAATGGCCTCCCTATTATACTGACTTCATCTCAATATCCCCCATATATGTCATAGTTGACGCTAGTTGCAGTATTATTGCCTTATATATACGAATTCCTATGCACCATTTCAGTGTTATCGGAATTGGCTGAAACGGCCAGGCATTTAGAAAATCAGCACTTAAGTTATGTGCTAGGCCTGGGGTGGGGAACCTTTATGTATCAACGTGCCATTTTTCAAAAAAAAAATGTTTAATGAGTTCATAGACGTGACGTAAAATAATTTTAACCTCGTGATTATTGATAAAATAATAGTAATAAATACTATCAACTAAAAACTCTTTATTTACTACAAAAGTAAATAAAGAGTTTTGAGTTGTGACATTTATTATTATATACAATATACAATACACAAAATACAATGTAATAAATTTTCATATATATGCGTAATTCAAATGAAAGTCACATTAGTGTGCCTTCCGCAGATTAGATGACAAATAACTTTTATTGGGGTTGTAAGTTCGTAAATGAAACACAAATGAACTTTCAAATACTGTTATATCAACGAAGTGGACTATTATGATAAGCGCAAATGAACTATGCATTCCTTGGGGGAGACGTGGACTTCTGTAGGGCTGTAATGATGCTGATGATGAAATGAACTATGTGTCTTTAGTAGTCCACGATGTAACTACAATAACAAATGAGCGCGCTTCCCGCCTGTCAAGCCGCCCCACGCACCACGCCCGAACACTCCGTGGCGTAGGATCACTCGCGTTTGTTCGTAATAGTTTGTACTTCATAGTGAACTTTGTGATCGGTGGCCTACCCAAAATATTTTGTAGAGTCATCGACGGCACGTGTGCCTTTGGTTCGCTATCTCTGTACTAGACATTTAGTTCATTGGCTGACTAAGCAATCTGGCTGCGACATAGAAGTCATTGTCGGTTGACATTGCTTCTTTAGTTAATTAACATTGTTAAACACGAGCTGGTGATACCTATATTCATTAGTCCTTTCATACAAGTGAGGGCGACAAACTATCACCAGTCCACTTGATACTACGTAAATGTTGTGCATGATTGACACCCACGCCTTATGATCAAGAGACTAAGAATCCAAGCTCCATATTTTTTTCAATAACTAGTTTTACGGCTCTGGGTTCTAGCCCTTCTGAGCTGCAAGCTCCAGATGCTTCGATACTCCTGAGGATTATGGATGGAATGCCTGTTTTCCAGTGAAAACGGTCACCGGTTCTCTACACTCACGATACGGAGTATTATGCAGCTATTTCACTCTGGTATTCTGTGAGAATTTAGTTGTTCCCGGGTCGAGCCAACCCATTATAACTACCATTACAACCTATTAAAGTCCACTGCTGAACATAGGCCTCCCCCATAGATAGCTTTATAGGGGGATATTTGCTATAGTTGCTAATCTTGGCAGGCGACTCAGCAACGCAGTTTTATTTTTTAATTTTAGTCGTTATTAGGAAGACCTTGCTGCCTGATTTCTGATTTGTTTCCCTCTGTCGCCTCTTACGACAACCACGGGATGATATGGGCTAGTGGTCATGCTTAAACTGCCACTACATATTCCGACAATGGCCGACCTATTCTAAACATAATACTTCTGCAAACATAATATAGCTGAAGGATGGCACTGTCCTATATCGACTCATGGGTATCGTAAGACGCGACACAGGGTTGTTGAGACAACAGGAGGTAGGCTGCAGCATATTTTTGGTAACAAACAAAACAATAAAAAACTGCGGTTCCCAACTATGGCAACTATGGCGAAATTACCATAATGAGGAATCTATGGCGCGGACTATGTTCAGCAGTGGATGCTGATGATGGCTCTACCACGTACATATGCATATAAATATACCACGGAGTTATTCCTTTCAGCACAATGTCACAGTTGACCTACGAATCTTTCAAGAGGCTATTTGATGAACTGGTTCTTGGTACCAGCTATGACCTTGAAACAGCCCGCAACATCTTCTTGGAGGTTTTGCCGCACGGTCGCAGTGATGCTTGTGCACGATTCATAAAGTACTTGGTTATTGAACAGAAGGTATAGATTTGATTTCTTATCTTATTATCTTACAATAATGATGTCCTCTAGACCGAAATTCGATCACGGCGGCCAGCTCCAACAGAGAATAGATATAGGTGTAGGACAGAATTATAGTGCCCAAGTGTATGCACAAGCACAGGTGCACTCTCCGTTTCCTCACTCTCATAGTCCAATGTGATGGTAAACCAACACTTTTATCGCATCTATCACGGGGAGTGGTCTGAGGAATTGTTTGGACTAATTCCAGCCGCACAATTTTACCATCGCACATCGCGACAAAACTCGCGATACCATCCATACCATCTGGATGACTGGCAGTACACCACTGTGCGATCTAAAAGAAGTGTTCTTCCCACAACTTCCTTGTGGAATCAACTACCACCAGAGATTTCTTCGGACCGATACGACTTAGGGACCTACAAGAAAAGAGCTTATTCTTTTTAAAAAGCCGGCAACACGTCTACAATTACCCTGGTGTTGCAGTTGTTTTTGGGCGGCGGTAATCACTTACCATCAGGTGAGCCGTATGCTAGTTTGCCTCCTCCACTATAATAAAAAATGACCGGAGAGAGATCTAGCACAGGCTCAGGCTTTACGTATTCGCCGAGGCACGGGGATGAAACACCACCAACTTTATGACTTCAGCTACTTTTTACTTTTGAGAATTTCTTGACAGAAAAACTCAATAACTGTTTTTTTCCGTCCGATCTGGGATTTCAACCCATGACCTCATGATCAGCAGTTATGTTTACTACGCTAAATCAACAAGATAGTCAGGAGATTTTAAATATATACCAGCTGGCCCGGTAGGCGTTATTTTACTCATCCGGTTACACCATAGCGCCTCCTACCGGGTGTGGATTTTGTGATTTTCTACTTTGACTTAGCAAAAAGAAGTTGTAAATAGGAATCACTATAGTCCAAAGATGTAGAATTACTTAAAAACATGACTACAGCGCCACCTATATGATACTAGCAAAGCTACGAACCATCGTCTCGGGGAAACAAATATAGTGAATACGACCTTCAGAGGTCAAGTTGTTCTGAAGATACACGGTCACTAACAGATGCACCAACTATTATATATAAAAACTGGCGAAACACCACGGCTTTGCATGGCTGATTTTTGGATCTTGATAACAGCGCCACTTATTTGATACTAGCAAAGCTACCAACCATGGTCTCGGTGAAATAAATATAGAGTATGAATATGACCTTAAGAGGTCAAATTTTTCTAAAGATACACGGACACTAACAGATGCACCAACTATTATATATAAAAACTGGCGATACATCACGGCTTTCCATGGCTGATTTTTGGATCTTGATAACAGCGCCACTTATTTGATACTAGCAAAGCTACCAACCATCGTCTCGGTGAAATAAATATAGAGTATGAATATGACCTTAAGAGGTCAAATTTTTCTAAAGATACACGGACACTAACAGATGCACCAACTATTATACAGAATGGGTCCCACATATATGCAACAAATGAAACTACAAGTAATACTAGTCAGTAGATGTGTAGAAAAATTAAATATTAAATTAAAACCTGTAAAATAAAAAAGTGAAATTTTCAAACAAAATAAATATTAAAATAAATTCAGTAAAAGTGAACACTCTGTTTAGACAACGTACCTTGACCCCTTGGAAGAGTGACAACGTTACACGCGGGTGGCACGCCGACAAAAGACACCACTGTCGATATGTCGCAATACCAATAGTTTGCACTGCGTGGCAACGTCGCTTTTTAATGTTCAAGGATTCAAGTTCATTGAATCATTGACTTAGTGACCCAATTCTATAGTGTTCAAATTTGCTTAAAATTAAAACTCTACTTTTTGACCTAATTACTGGACCGATTACGTTCATTTTTTGTATATCGTCAGCAAAGGCGATAACAAGTATATGGTTTCATTTATTGCATATATGTGGGACCCATTCTGTATATAAAAACTGGCGATACACCACGGCTTTGCATGGCTGATTTTTGGATCTTGATAACAGTGCCACTTATTTGATACTAGCAAAGCTACCAACTATCGTCTCGGTGAAACAAATATAGAGTGTGAATATGACCTTAAGAGGTCAAGTTGTTCTGAAGATACGCGGACACTAACAGATGCACCAACTATTATATCTATAAACTAGCGATACACCACGGCTTTGCATGGCTGATTTTTGGATCTTGATAACAGCGCCACCTATCGGGTCCCATTGTGGACATAAGCCATTGTGAACATAAGCCATTGTGAACATAAGCCATTGTGAACATAAGCCATTGTGAACATAAGCCATTGTGAACATAAGCCATTATGAACATAAGCCATTGTGAACATAAGCCATTGTGAACATAAGCCACTCGGGACCCACTCAAACACACTCGTCAAAATCAATCGTCAAAGTCTCAAGTGATGATATTTGATACATGCAGTAACTTATTTTTGTTTATATAGATTTGTCGATAGGGTTATGACATCGATTATTTTGATCTCCAAATATGCAAGTTTCCCCACGGTGTATATTATATTAACAGGTGAGTATGTGGTGGTGTATCCACCACCTAAACTGCAAATTTAAATTTTATTACGGCTGGAGTGCCGGTTTTATTTCCGGTGTGCGCTTAGTCCCAGACTCCCAGAGCAACCACAGTTCTCCTTTTAAAATTAATAAATATAATCTAATTAGAGGAAGACAGTTTCTCTAATTGGAACCCTATAAGCAAATTGTAGGGTATCCACAAAATATGTGGAGCGACGACATGATAAGTAATACAGGAAGTCGATGGATGCATATAGCTCAGGACCTTTGGTGGCATTCTTTGGGTGTCACCTATTTTCAGCAGTGGACTTGTGTTGGGCTGTAATGGTGATGACGATGATGATAGACAAATTAATTACTTATATTTATATTTCAAATGCATGTGAAGGGTGATTCTGATAAGGTGAGAAGTTTTTAGTAGCAAAGTCAAATTAATATTGAGAAGTAAGTGGCAGATTTCTTATCAGAGTGGCACGAAAGTTTTTCTACCAATTTGACGAAGTGGTCTTTGAAAAGTGGGTCAGAATAGGGACCAACGGAAGCATGCCTGCCTACTCCACTGGAAGATAGCCTTAAAGTTTATGTTATATAATGTAAATTCGTTATAATTCCAGTGGACTTGTGTTGGGCTGTAATGGTGATGACGATGATGATAGACAAATTAATTACTTATATTTATATTTCAAATGCATGTGAAGGGTGATTCTGATAAGGTGAGAAGTTTTTAGTAGCAAAGTAAAATTAATATTGAGAAGTAAGTGGCAGATTTCTTATAAGAGTGGCAACACACGAAAGTTTTTCTACCAATTTGACGAAGTGGTCTTTGAAAAGTGGGTCAGAATAGGAACCAACGGAAGCATGCCTGCCTACTCCACTGGAAGATAGCCTTAAAGTTTATGTTATATAATGTAAATTCGTTATAATTCCAGGAGAAAGTAGAAGACGCGACCCTTCTTTCTCTTTTGAGAAAGTTGCCTTACAATGTCGCCGATTACAGTCAGAATCTTCTAGAAGAATTGGAAGTATTCGCCAAGTTAGGACCAGACTTCCCAAAGCAGATTCGACACGCTGGTATCTTGTCCTTTGCGACTCTTACATCGAAGACCATGGATGCTTCCTTGGTCAAGCAGGATTACTTTGACAATATAGTTGTCAAGTACTTCAGAATGTACAGTGGTAAGTTTTCATATAGTCTTCATTTTCACCAGCTCGTCAACGTAAACTCTCACATAATACCAGCGTAAAATAGCATCTTCTGCTGCTGTGTTGAGTGCTGCTCAACTGCTCTATGGTGAGTGTAGAGAACCGGTGACTCTTTTTACTGAAAACGAGGCATTCTATCTAAGTCCTCAGGGATCACAAAGCATCTGCATTTTGATTTTTAACCGAGGATAGATGTAAATGTTTATAGTTCACAGTACCCACTTACCAGTTTTCTTATCAACAGTTATTTGTTCTTTTAATAATATATTTTTTATATAATATATAATTATTTTGTACTAAAATGGATCGACATTATCAAAAATACACTTATTTCAAATGCTCGATATAAAAATGTTACCTACATATCATATTTTTCCCGTATATTGGTTATTTGCTGTAATTGTTACGCCTCGCTGGCGTATAGGGGATTACTTTACGAGATATTTTGCTTTTCTGACTCTGATATCCCCCCGGCTATAAAATATATTACATTTGCCATATACGAGATGACTTAAGAACGTGATTAATTTTATTTTATACTTATGATATATACACGATGATACAGCCGGTTACTCAACTACTAAACATAGGCCTCCCCCAAAGATTGCCTCGTAGGGGTATATTTGCCATAGTGACTACGCTTGGCTAGAGGGTTGGCAACCGCGGTTTATTTCATTTTTTTCGTTATCAGGAAGACGCTGCTGCCGTCTCCTGATTTGTTTTCCTCTCTCGCCTCTTACGACACCTACTTATACTTATATGTATAAGTGGTACGTAACTACTATATATTCTTACACCTCCACTACACGATACCTAGGTATAAGCTATAAATATGGCGTTAGTGTAGACTTATGATAATCATCGAAGACCATTTTTTAGGCATTTTTTTGATTTCACAAAAAATCTCCAAGTTATGATTTCTTATATTTACGCGAACACTACACATTGATTAAAACTACTTCTACGGATTTTATCGCATTTACGACGTTTTGGGTGCTTTCCAGCACCCATGGTCACGGGCAGCTGAGGTGACTGACGTCCCGATATGCAAGCGCAATCCTCTTCGTCATCTTGAGCGTTGCTTGCCAAATTTTCTTCTTCACCGACTTCTTCGAACAAGTTTTTGGTAAAATTTCTTCTCCTCTTCTCTGCTGGAGCTTTAGACTCGTGTTTTGACTTGATTGCGTTCATGTTTGGAGTAGAAGCCAAAATCAAAGAGGTTTGTTGTATCTTTGGCTTACGTTTTCCTTGGCAACTTATGTGACTCCCTTTTGGGACAGGTGATATAATATACTCAATAGGCACCGCTAGAGTATAGGGTGAAGGACGTTCTTTATTACCAATAGATGGGCGATTTTGATTTGAAGCAGGTAAAATATGGTATTGACCAGGGTTTGATGTTGAATTATCACCTTGTTCAGTAGAGTCGGTTGTTAGAACTGTATCGTTTTTGTAAGGTGTTTCTGTAAAGTTTTATCCCTAAAGAAATTAGTAGCTTTGAATAAAGGTTAATAATTAGTGCACAGTTAGCTCATTCAGTTCTTATGGACAAAACGACATACCCATGTCATTTTGTCCGTTACTTATGTATATTATTTTGTATTAAAAAAAAAAGTTATTCATATGCAACAAGTACCTAACGGGTGTAATAAATGAACGAGCAATTTGAAACTATGAAAAATATAATACAAATACAAAAAACCTCCCTGCAATCAAAAAAAGCTCCTAACTTTCCAACTTTTGTCTTTGGCCATGACACGCGAACGAAGGACAGCAAGCTCAAGTTTTGACAGAGTGGTATGAGCTGGTAGAGTTACGTGATATAAGTTGTCTATGGCGGGCTAAAATCGACAGAATTTGAAATATGATGCCTGTGTCATTTTGTCCGTGTATGTCATTTTGTACATACTTCCCCTATAGTTGTGGCAAAAATAGGTTGGCTCGGCGGGGGAAGGACCACGCTCTCACAGAATACCAGCGTAAAATAGCATCTTAACGCTGCTATTTTAAGCTTACTGCTATTTGTATAGTACTATTTTGCGCTGGCTGCTATTTTACGTTGATACCAGCGTAAAATAGCAGCTTGAAAACGCTGGTATCAACGCATTTTATTTCGTAATCGAGGATAGATCTAGATGTTTATTTTCTGCAGCAACCAGGTACCATCAGGTGAACTGTGTGCACTTTGGTTACCCTTATCCTATAAAAAGTATTTATAAATTGAAATAATAATACTTTTTACGGTTTTTATATTAATATATAAAACGCGTAACTTTTTTATATACCTGACGTTTCGAGCACTTTACACCCATGGTCACGGGGGGGGGTACTGAGATGTTCAACGTCCAGATGTCATAGTGAACCGCGGTTACCATAGATTAAAATTATTAATTTTTGTTCCGATCTACGTAGTATTAACTTAAAATACCTTGAAGTCTTGCAGTTGTATGCCTGGGTTGGGATTTAATTTTATTAATTATAGAATCCCAAGCAGATGGTAGCGCCCCGCCATTTTCACTATTGAAATTAGGATGTTTTTTGATTTCAATAGCCTCGCGAAACATCCTTAGAAGGAATCCGTGTTCTTTATTCGCGTTCTGATGTAGTAACGGGGGCGATCCTATACGTATTCACAGACTGTAGACTTCCCGAAGCTTATTAGCTATCTGGTAAGACATGCAGGTAGGATCAGGCGCATGCTTTGAGAGAGGCTTCATAATGATGATGATGATACACAGTCTCCTCTTACGACACCTCTCTCATACGTCTCTTTATTGAACTTAAGCTCGTTTCTCGTGCTCACATAAACACGGCGTTGTAGTCTTGACTAGCTGAGTAATGTCCGCTTGTCCAGTGCGTGCACTTAAACGTTGCTCTATGTATACACGTGGCCTTGGCTCGTTTTAAGGCAAATTAATATTATTTTTTTATAGAATAAGGGTGTTAAACGAGCACACAGTCCACCTGATGGTAAGTGGATATCTATATTTATCCTCGATTAAGAATCAAACCGCAGATGCGTTGTCACCACTAAGGACTAAGATGGAATGCCTCGTTTCCAGTAAAAACCCATACGGAACATAGCAGTACTAAGCTGCTATTTTACGCTGGTATTCTGTGAGAGTGTAGTCCTTCCCCGGTCGAGCCAACTCATTCGTGCTACAACCATAATATAACTGCACAGTGGCTCTACCACATATAAAATATAATAGTATATCCAGTTTCCCCAAAATTACGTCTGACTATTTTTATTGATTTTAGATTGTCCTCAATACTTGGACCGCATGGTTTGGCTCCAAGGCATGTGCACACTTGGCTATACAGCTGATTCCTACATAAGGACTATATACAGTGACTTCTCCAGGAACCGACATGAGAGGTTATGGGCGTCGTTAGCTTGCGGTCCTGAAACCGCCAAAGGGTATATGGTGCGTTCATATATTTTCAAACACCATTTTTATTTTTATTTTGGCATACATTAATTTCTTTATAAGGATAAGGGTGACGAACGAGCAATCAGTACACCTGATGGCAAACGGATGCGTTTCTTCCCTTGCCTTCGCCACGGAGCCACGGAGCGAGTCTTCCTATTCTAATTCTACTTGCAATATGCCATTGCAATTGCACCCGGATCTTTCCTATGCACGTGAGGTTTACCGTTATTGTCATACTTGGCAAACAGTTTACTTCAACACTTTCTGTCCGGTTTTCAGACATGATAGTAAGATAATAGCAATGACCTTAAATATAATAATAATATCCTTCAGACCAATTCCGGTCTCGACGTCTAGTCTCAATGGATACTACCCATCGGCGCAGGACAGGGTTATAGTGCCCAAGCGTTTGCGCAAGCACAGGTGCACTCTCTATTCCCTGACTCTCATAATCCGATGGGTCGGTAAGCAGACACGACCGGAGAGAGATCAGGCGCAGGACCAACGGCTTTACGTGCTTTCCGAGGTAAGTGGGTGAGACACCGCCAATTTCCTGATTCCGGGCAGCTACTGAGAATTTCGTGATGGATAAACTCAATAATTAATTTATTTCCAACCTGGTATACGAACCCAGGACCTCATGATCAGCAGTCGTACTACTACAACCACTAGACCAACGAAGCCTATATGTAGTGCACGGGACAGTGAAAGGGTAAATTCACCGATTAGGGTATTTACATTATGGTTTATACGGGTCTAATCATAAAGCTCGGAGAATTGACAACAGAATGTACTTTTAAGCTCAGTATTTAACGACGCGTGTTTTTACTTGGTGGTGGAACTCTTATTTATCTCTGAGTACATCTGGGTAGCATTCTGTTAATTATTTCTGCCGTCGAGCAGTTCTTGAACTGCTATGTCCTGGTCTAAATGGTGAAGGGTGTAGAGAACCAGTATACAAGTTCTTAGTCCTCAGAGGCGATAACGCATTCGAGTATTTCTTTGTTTGAAATTAGCAGCAAGTATCTATGAACTGTTTTGGCCACTGGTAAGTGACATCTTATGGTAATTATACGTGGTAGAGCCATGCAACTATATTATGATTGTAGCACAAATGGGCTGGCTCGAAAGACCACACTCTCACAGAATACCATCGTATAATAGCAGCTTAATACTGTTATGTGTTGTACGGTGAGTGTAGAGATCCGGACACACTATTTTACTGGAAACGAAACATTTCATCTTAGTCCTCAGGGGTGACACATATGTGTTTTTTTTTTAATCGAGGATAAATGTAGATATCTATGGGCCACAGTGGACTGTGTGTTAGTTTGTCACCGTTATTCTATAAAAAAAATTGTACCGACTGTACTATTAAAAATCCTTTAACTAGGCAAAGAGACATCCTGTTAAAACACTGTGAATATTGATGGATACAAATGGCTCCGAATCATGGTTTGTGATAATCTGTGGGAGCGTACTATATTCAGCAGTGAACTTATGACGGGTGGTGAGGATGATGATTGTTATATACAATATAGTTTCATAATAATAATTTTATTAACTTTGTTTACATGCAGGGTATCTTAAACTATTACAGTACTGGTTTTTGGCAATATACTAGTTTAGATATGGTTGATCGTTAGCGGTTGTGCTAGTTTTATGATAAAAACGGTATTACAGACGCTAGCGCCTTCTATCGGACATTATAGGAAATAATTAGAAAATTATCCAGTTGGGTACTACATAATATTGAATCCGCTGCATGTGGAGACAATACTTAAGAGCAAATATAAAAGTGAGTAATAGAATTGCGGGTGTACACGTAGAAGTTTGTAAATGTGCGGGCATGTATGTGTTTAAGTATATGTGTGTGTGTATGTGTTCTATAGATTATTGCATGGATGGCATTATGCATTTTCCATGGTTGCCTTTGACAACACTCACATAATGAAATTTATAACATTCGACACAACACCTAAAATGTCGTTTTCAGTGTTTTGTTACTTTTCTATTTTAGACTTTTTTAATTTTATTAAGTTACTAAGAAAGTGATGAACATGTTTCAGGTCCTAGAAACAACATTACCTATTCTCACAAACGACAAGGAACATATTCAACTCAGGGTTGCAGCTCTCCACGCACTTCTTAGCACCGAAATCAGCGCCAGTGACTTTCTTTTCATTCACAACTACATCAAAAACTGCAATAGCGACCAGTTGAAGAGGTTCTGGTATTTAACTGTGAAGACCTTAGAGACGAATAAATACTTCCATGGTTACAAAGCTGTGTGAGTATTTCCAATTAAATGTTCATGTGTGATTTCATAACCAATACAATCAGGATTAACGTTTTCGGAAATGCATTATATCAAAGACGTTAAAATTAATTTTTCATTATTCTGACGGTTTCGTAGCTCAGTTACTTAGCAATGAGTTGCAGTGCTAAGGGTCGCAGGTTCGAATTCTGCAGGGAATAGGTATTTTTATGAAAAACTATTGTTCCGGATCTGGATGTGTGAATTTCTATCTGAATTTCGCAAATACAATTTGCGAAATTTATGTATCTGAACTATCCCCACGATACAGGAGAAATGGAATGTATCCTAATGGAAGTAACGTTTTTATGAAGAAAAAAAAAACATTAAAAAAGAAATAATTATCTTAGATCCGAGTACAAATAAGAATGACGTTTTTTTTATAAAAGAGGGGGCAAGCGAGCATACGGCTCACCTGTTTGATGGTAAGTGATCACCACCATCCATTAACAACTACGAGTACAACACCAGTGAATTGTAGATGCGTTGCCGGCCTTTTGAATCATGGTATTTTTGTAATGCTCCTTAAGTCGTATCAGTCCGGAAAAATCGCTAAAGGTCTACTGTCGTGAACAACTCTTAACACAAGCATGTTTTAAAAACAGCCTATACACACCCCACAGCTGGGCAAACGCCTCCTTTTAGAGAGAGTTTTAGGGCAATGAAGTGTCCGCCGCGCTGCCGCAATGTGTGTCGGCGAACTTCACGTGTCTTCGAAAAATTTTTTCTCATTTATCAGACATCGCAGCTTCCCCTCACCATGTTTTCCTTCGCCGCTGAGCACGCGGTAAATCAGCACTTAAAATTGCAATTTACTATTTCATTGCTGCCGGAGATTGAACCCGGGTTGCTCGTGTACTGTGAAATTTAAAGCTAACGCTTAGCCCCTAAGCTTTCTATTCAATTTTATGATACTGTTTTTGTTTAACTAGTATTTAAAAAAAAATTAAAGTTACAGCGTATATACGTCCCACTGCTGGGCACAGGCCTCCTCTTATTTCTGAGAGGGTTTCAGGGCAAGGAAGTGTCCGCCGCTCTGCCCCAATGCGTGTTGGCGAACTTCACATGTCTTAGAAATATTTTTTTTCTTATTCCTCAGACATGCAGGTTTCCTCACGATGTTTTCCTTCACCGCCGAGCACCGTTTCCGTGGTAAATCAGCACTTAAAATTGCAATTAACAATTTCATTGGTGCTGGCGGGGGTCGAACCCGGGTTACTCGCGTTCTGTTATATTTACAGCCAGCGTTAACCATCTGAGCTACCACGGATCTATAACTAATGTTTATCAAAAATATATGGGAATGAAGTCATTTTTTTATAGGATAGAATGACAAACGAGCACACAGTCTACCTGATGGTAAGTGGTTGCTGTGGCCCATAGACATCTACGACTATCCTTGATTACAAATCAAAATGCAGATGCGTTGTCATCCGTGAGGACTTAGGTGGGATGCCTCGTTTCCAGTAAAAAAGGGTCTCCGGTTCTCTACACTCACTATACGAAACACAGCAGCATTAAGCTACTATTTCACGCTGGTATTCTGTGAGAGCGTGGTCCTTCCCCGGTCGAGCCGACCCATTCGTGCTACAACTATACTACTAATATAACTGCTGCATGGCTCTACTACGTCAAAAAAGTTTGCAAATTACCGTTATAAAAATAATGTTATTTTTAGATCATTCTACGTCCCGTTCATTAGCAACCAAGTTACGAATCCGGGGTCAAAATATTGGGCGACAAATAACGTGGTGTTCACTGTTGGTGATGACGAAGACACCGCATCTGTGCAGTTCTTCAGCGTGGGGGAAGCATATGGACCTATGCCAGCTATGGGAGGGATCAAATTATCTACTGGAGGAAGGAGACCGTACCAGCCTGCGGTATGTAAGGTTTATTATAAGATAAGGTAATGTGCTCAAAAATTTGCCCTCATGATTGTTGTCCCTTAGTGAAATTTTTGAGTGATTTATTTGACCCGTGCTGCAACGATAATATGTAGCGTGGCTCTACCACGTTACAAAAGTCATCTTTACAAGCCTATTGTTATTATAATATAATAACAATAGGCTTGTAAAGATGAGTTTAGCCTATTGTTATTATATATAAGTCTATTGTTATTTTTATAATAATTTTGGACTACATTGTTAATATTATTTAAAAAAAATATTTCCAACAGATATCTTGTTGGTTATTCCCAGGACAGATTTTTTTTCAAACAAGTGGTAAAAGACTTGTAGTCTATGTTGAATAAAACATATTATTTTATATTCTGTTCTATCCTTTGCTATCCCACCGTATCCTATTCAAGCCTTTCCTATCCTTTCTTATTATATTTATACACATCCAATTCTATTCTATTCTGTTCCGTTTCATTTCGTTCCTTTCCATTCCATTCCGGTCCTGTCCACTCCACTCCATTTGACTCCATTACATTCCATTTCATTTTATTCTATGTTATTTTATTCTAATAACATAAGCTTTTGTTAGCTTGATCTGTATGTTTATATTTGTGTAAATGTTATTGGTACATTTCCTTACCAGCTTTCAGATGTTTGAATATTCTGAAATTTTTCAGACGTATCAATAAGAATACAATAATTTTTTAAAGATCACAGTTTATTATCTGTGCGTGTTGTTTAATTTTCTTTTTTTTATTCATAGAAAAAGGGCTTCGTCGCTGTTGCGATTAGGACGCCCTGGTAGTTAAAACAAAAATCTTAAATAGGATAAATACTTACAAATAAACTTACTGATCACTTAATAATTACTTAATCTCTTATTTATTAACGCAAAGTTTTTGGCATAATCTGAAAACGGGTTTGATAAAATACTATTTATACTGCCAATCAATGACAAATGTAACATACAATTTTTTATTTCTATGGAGTTCGGGGCACATTCTATCAAAATGTGATAAACATCATCGATAACATTGTAAGGTGAACTGTTTGGTGGCGTAGTTTTAATTTTATTTTTAACTCTTTATTTTGATATAGAATAGGTGAATTTAGTAAGTGACTGTGTAGCACGCTCTATGTATTTCCTATACGGTATCCTTTTCGTCACGAACATCCGATGACGACATCAGTCAATTGTTTTTTCTTTTTTTTTCTTTTTTAGGTGTATTTCATAGGAGAAGGACTTTCTTGGGTTTTGCTTAAGAAATTGCTTCAATCAAGAAACGTCAGTGAAGGAGCTCTTGTTTCTATGTTAGAGAAGCTAAACGCATGGAAGCTGAGGACACCAGAACCGGTAAGTTTATAACTATTAAATGTTAAATCCACTGTGTAGTGACGGTGTATGAATATCCACTACCCCATTTCATCCCGTGAGTGTCGTAAGAGGCGACAGAGGGAAACAAATCAGGAGATGGGCAGCAGCATCTTCCTGATAAAGACTCAAAATAATAAAAGACTGCGGTTGCCAACCCGTCAAGCCAAGCGTGTGAACAGTCAATCAGGGAGGCGTATTTTCAGAAGTGGACTCATATAGGCTCTGACGGAATAGATGAAATGTTGAATCTATATACAGCTAGCAGCCGGGTTATATATTTTTTAAAACTGCATAGTGAAACTTTGCACCATGGGATAAGGCCATGAAGGTTAAAAAACAAATATCTATCATAATCGGTCAGTAAAATTCTACTGCTGGACTCTACTTTCGAGAGGTTTCGTAATACTTGACACATCAGCGAGTTAACTGACGATCTCAGTGGCAATTGTCTACCATTTCACGTCTAGTGCGTACAGAGTAATCATAGCGCCATCTATCGGAGGTCATGAGAACTTTTTTACAGGAAGGGTGACAAACGAGTACACAGTACCACCTGATGGCAAGTGGTTGTTATGGCTCATGGACATCTACATCTATCTACGATTACGGATCAAATTCAGATGCATTATCACCCGCGAGGGCGAAGACGGAATGCCTCGTTTCCAGTAAAAAGGGTCTCCGGTTCTCTACACTCATCATACGAAACACAGCGGCATTAGGCTACTATTTCCGGCATCTGCGCTCTTGACGAAATTATTTCTCTTAAATTGCCACTACACGACCCATGTTTTCGTTTTATCGTTAATATAAAGCATTTTAGTATATTTAAAAAAAAAGAATAATTATTTCTATAGTATAGTAAATTCAATAGATAGAATATATGACATCTTATCGATATCATCATCACCAAAACTAAAAAATACATCCAGTCAGTGTCAATAATACGATACGAGTTTCGCCTCATAACAAGGCACATTGTGAAATATATTGAATTTGAACATCTTATAATGTTTGTCTCTTTAACTGTCAGTAAACTGAATAAGATAGTTTGATAATCTATGTTCTAAGTCTAAATGTTACTAGTGATTTTGTACATAAGACATGTTGTTTCAACAGGTTCATATAGACATTGTCATGAAAATCGGTGATAAAACTGTCGTCGCGACACATATTAATCAATCTGAACTCGCACAGAACTACGATGACAGTAAGTAATCTTTGTAACTCGCTTTTACTAGCTTTACCAGTATGATGACGTATGCATCTATATATATATATATATATATATATATATATATATATATATATATATATATATATAAGACTATGGACTTACGTATGTATGAATGAATAAATGAAAAACTGAATGAATGTTTATATGTCTATATGAATATCGTAGAATACTATAATACACAATAGAATGGCTGCCAACCTTATTTAGTTTGAAGATCGGTGTCGCCGGGAACACACATACAAGCAATTACGATACAGATTCGCTGTATTGACAGACGGAGCGAATTTACACACTTTAGAGTTTTGATTAATGTTTTTGACTCACCAATATTTATTTATTTTTGTTTCTAATATTTACAAAATATAAATAATTTCAACTTAATACGGTACTATATATACTACTACTATTCATCCAAGGGCTATCACAGTTCATGATCAATACAACATGTTGTTTAAGTTTTTCTAATTTCTAATTTTATTATTTATTTTAGGCGTGGAAGAAAAAGGGGAGATCTCCCGCCGAATAAGGTGTTCAGTGGTCAATGCTTTCCGAGCTGAATACCTTGCAAGGCGGGAGATCTCCCCCTTTTCCTTCCACCGGTAAACTGGTATGTCGCAGTAAATTAGGAACTTTGATAGCGCGATTCGGTGCTGTTCGCTTGTGCCGTGACGACAGCGCTGCCACAATTTTATTAGAGAGTAACAGATTAAATCACTTCTGCAGAATGCTTTGGCAAACATGCTAACAGTCCATCTGATATTAAGTTCTTCAGTCCTTAGTTACCGTTCCTATTACCGATACGGCCTATTAAAATCCACTGTTGAACATAGGCCTCCCCCATAGATTGCTTCATAGGTGAGATATTTGCCACAGTTATAATATTACTGTTGATTTAACAATTTCACCTCTCAGTGGGTTATGTGCTCCTGGTAGATTATCTTTTATCAATTACAATCTATAAAAGTTCAGTGGTGAACGTAGGCCTCCCAATAGATTGCTCCATAGTGTTGATATTTGCCATAGTTGCCACGCTTGGCAAGCGGGTTGGCAACCGCAGTTTTTATTATTCGTTATTAGGAAGACGCTGCTGTCCATATTCTGATTTGTTTACCTCTGTCGCCTCTTACGACACCCACGGAACGATATGGGATCATTTCTATCTCCAACAAAATTCTTAGTATCAAAAAACAACTCAAAATCAAAATGTGTCCTAGTCTTTTTACTTATGTGCCCATCTTTACCAGACGTACGTAAGTAAAATTTTATTTAAATGTATTGAATATTTTCATAATATGTGAGTTATATATACGTAGGCATTAATTATTAAGACTAAGACTAAGAGCTGAGGTGAGAAGAAACTAGTCTGTATTATGCAAGCAGTTGTTTCACTGGTTCCTACAGCCTGTACGTGTACAGCTCATATACCGCATTTCTCAGATGGAAAATTTATTCAAAAAATGTTTCCTTTTGCAGTATTTAAGTTGATCGACGACTTCCTAAAGTTTGGCAGCCACATAAACCAGCAAATGGTCTACTACCCTTTTCAAATGGACTGGAACATAGCTAGTGAGTTAGGTGAGTATTTAATGTAGATAAAAGTCATTAGACATCTTACATTTTTATTCTTTTTTCCCTGACACGTAAAGGTCTTTTGCTGGACACCTTTACGGACACCTTGGATGCTTTTAGCTATGCTGCTGGATATAGTTTAAAGAAAAAAGCTCCCTGGCATGTGCTACTGTACTTGTTAATTAATTGTAATTGCTCTTGCGTTTCGTATAGTGGAGAACCAGAGACCCATATATACTATATATAATATACGTGGCAGAGCCACGCTTTAGCTACATTACGGGTGGGTTCAATGGGTGGGGAAAGACTACTTATGCTCTCACAGAAAACCAGCGTAAAAGAGTAGTGAATCTAGAGATCCGGAGATCCTTTTTGACTGGAAACGAGGCATTCCATCTTAGTCTTCAGCGGTGACAACGCATCTACGTTTTGATTCTGAAGGATTATTCTCGAGGACAGATGTAGATGTCTATGGGCCACAGCATCCACTTACCATCAGGTGGACTGTGTGCTCGTTTGTCACCATTATTCTATAAAAAAATTACTGGCAAGAAGGCATTCGTTCTTTGCCTTCAGGTCTGACAATGCATCTACATTTTGATTCCTAATCGAGAATATATATCTAGTATAGTAGCATCATCTTGCTGTCAGGTGGGCTGTGTGCTAATTTGTCACCTTTATTATATAAAAAATACTTTTTACGTTAAAGAAAAGAGTTGGTGAGTAATCGAGTGCGGTGCTCGCTTGCCGGATAGGCTATCAATTGCAGACAATGTTTACAATCATGCGGATCGCGCGCATATTCGTGGTTATGGCAGCATCATCAGCGCTGTTGGTTACCCTGCAGCATTTCGCTGAGTCTTCTTCACTTATATTCTTTATCTGTCGTACGTTTAACTGTTATTTTTATTTATTTATGTCATGTGTATAGTTTCAGTAAATCTTTATTTCATTTTTTCTTTCATTTCTCCAGTCACACTTTACTATTAAGTTGTATTATCTTATTTCAGGAACTCCCGTCAGGTTGCAAAGAACAATCGTTGGGTTTTCATCAGTGAGAGGAAACTTGACAGCTCATCCAGATCCTAAGCGCCTTACTTGGGAAAACGATCTACAGTTATCGTAAATATAATTTTTTAACTTCCTGCTCTGAAAATCAATGATTTTCAAAAAATGGAGAAGTTTTTGTTTTAACCCTGGTTTTTGAAAATCGAGTTCTCATCAGATGTGTGTGTGTGTGTGTGTGCGTGCCCCCGTGCCTCGGAAAGCACGTAAACGTAAACCGTTGGTCCTGCGCCTGTCGTCGTGTCTCCCCCGGTCGTGTCGGTTTACTGTCCCATTGGATTATGAGAGTGAGGGAATAGAGAGTGCACCTGTGCTTGCACATACCCTTGGGCACTATAATCCAGTCCTGCGCCGATGGCTAGCCTCCGTTTAGGCAGGCCGTCGAGGCCGAAATTTAGTCTGGAGGACATTATCATTATTACACGTTCAGAGAAGTCGCCGGGACTCTGCAACATTTCGTGTCGTTTCTACACACGAACTATCTACAATGCTTCGGCGCTGACAAAGAAAAAAATCTTGTCAGCGCTAGACAAGACGAGCTCTGTGTTGTTGCGGTGAAGGGAGGGGCGGAGTAGCTGATGATTGATGAATTGGTCTTATATGCCGCAGACACGGTGAAATGTCTTAGCGTGTACAAGAGCCCTTAGAATTTAATCTCAAAATTATTTAAAATAAAAGAATATTACTAGATAACAAACTTTCTTTACTATTAGAAATTATTTTGAACGTAAATTGTTAAAAACAATAAATGTGTGAGAGCGGATGTTCAACTGGCTCTCTTGCTTTCGCAATTAATCATTATCAGAATCAAGACAGTGTACTGCACTACACATTCAGTATAGAGCAAATACAGTTCAACCAGCCGTAGTATGTCCTCGCCACAAGTACACACTGGTGTAACGTGAAAGACATAATACCATGATAGCACATAAGTATCTTTACCTTACCTTACCTTTGAGTGTATCGAGAGCCGTGGTAGCTCAGATGGTAAGCGCTCGTTGTAAAATTTACAGTACTCGAGCAAACCGGGTTCGATCCCCGCCGGCACCAATGATATTGTTAATTGAAATTTTAAGTGCTGATTTACCACATGTTTGGCGGTGAAGGAAAACATCGTGATGACACCTTCATGTCAGAGAAATAAGGAAAGAAAAATATTTCGAACACATGTGAAGTTCGCCAACACGCATTGGGGCAGCGCGGCGAACAATTCCTTGCCCTAAAACCCTTTCAGAAATGAGTGGAGGCCTATGCCCAGCAGTGGGACGTATATAAGCTGTAACTTTACTTTTTTTTACATAAGTATCAGTAACAGCAACACCATCAATCTAAGACATGGCAGCCTCTCAGCAACAAGATCTTCTTTGCCCACACTAGTAGAATAGTTTTCGGGCATAGTAACGACAGTGAGACTCATAGTAACACCGACTGATCCCTCTTAGTCGCCTGCGAGATACTTTGTACCGCTAGAACGAGTGGGTGATTATAGTATATTAATTCTACCTACATTTGTTCGTATTTACTTTTATTTATTTTCACCCTCATTCCCAATAATATACAATGAAATAAAAATTAATTCCATATCTCAGGTACCAAGGAACTGCTGTGACATCATTATCAACGGATGGGCCTATCCTTCTATCGGAACACATCACAAGAATCCAGCAGTCTATTGTGGCACTTCTCCCAATGAAGTTTAACGTCTCCTACCCGTTTTCCGAAAAGAAAATAGAGTGAGTTTTTAGAAGATTCTTTTTTTGGTCTAAACTTATAAAACCAAAATTAATCAATATAAATTTAGCTTCAGCCAGTTTTCAGCTATGTTAGAAGTCATATTAGAGTAATGTTTGCTATCGGATATAAGAGAAAATATCCATAATCATGACCGTATTCGACATAGATAAAAATTAATATTATTTTTTCCATTGAAATCCGATATACTTTAATAACTATAAAAAAATGCGTAACACGTTAAAGTAAATTTTGCAGCTTTTTTATCCATTTCATTTTAAATCTAAAAGCACGCATTATATACTTTTCTTTCTTTAAGTATATATATATTCATATTGTACATAATCATAATGATACAATAATTAAACAGTCAGATATGCGATGAAAACCAAAACCGTGAACAATACAAAACAGTTACCCATTATATAGTTTACATTTGAGAAATTTTAATAACTGACCGCCTAGTGAATGCCTTATCGTTACAACTTCTTTGAAAACCACTGTTGAACATTACTTGTATATGTACAATCTTGTTTTCAAGTTTTGAGGTATACCTGACGGAGAGATTTGTCGTAATTTCATTAATGATGTAAAGCTGAGTTGAATCTGTCGAGCGCACCGGAAGGTGCGTAATCGTCATATATCACGCCACTGTGACGTTACGGATCGTAAAAGTGTAACGTTTTATACGTGCGAGTTTACTTGCCTACTTGCTACACAAACATGTAGTAGCAGTATAAAACGCCACTCCATGCTTTACTTGATTTAGGTCTTAAATATTAACGTGTTGTACAGACCAGATTACGAACTCCTTGTAATATTTTATGTTACACATTCTCAAAAATTTTATTATTTAAAAAAAAAGTCCCGCTGGGTTTCTTGCTGGTTCTTCCCGGGACAGAGATTTTTTTTTTGCGAACTATTGGTAAATGAAGTGACTTACAATAAATATTATTTATAATCCATATTAATTAACAAAGTTTCTGTTTTTATTTCTTAATGTTCCGTAACTACGAAAAAACTTAGATACTACGAAATACACAATATCAATAACCCGATACGTATTACGCCCCATAATGAGGCACAGTGCTACGTATTTCGCCCCAAAATGAGACAATGTCAAACCTGACTGGACGTCGCTGACAGTTAAAATTATTTTAAAACATGGATTTTACACCAATGTATGAAATTTTCAGATTGACACTATTGTTCCCGTTCACACAGCGTGCCGGTTTGGCTCTACACTCACGTGTGTTGGTGAATATGGTCACGATTGACAGAAATTACGAGAATGTTGTTATAACCGGTAGAGATACATGCGAGGTGAGTCTTGCGTTGAACTATTTTGATAATATTGAGATAACTAAAGAATCACTACTACATGATGCTAATAATTTATTTTGAAATGAAATTAAATGAAATGAACGATTTATATTCAATATAGATTATTACATATGTTGGCCGTGCCGTATCCCTCGATTCTAGTAAAAAGGGTCTCCGGTTCTCTACACTTACAAAACGCAGCAGCATTACGCTGCTATTTAACGCTGTATTCTGTGAGAGCGTGGTCCTTTTTTTCTTATTTGAAGACATGCAGATTTCCTCACGATGTATTCTTTCACTGCTGAACACGTGGTAAATCAGCACTTAAAGGTGCCGACGGAGTTCGACTCGGGTTGTTCGCATACTGTGAAATTTACGACGAGCGCTAACCATCTGGGCTACCACGGCTCCATGCATTGATCAAGCATTATTCTGGGATCATTAAAGTGAACAAGTGTGACCCTTTCTCTTTGTTACAATCGTAACTTGATAAATTGATTTCAACCTACCAAGAGGATCTACCGTGTGGTGGCGGCGAAAGAAAATCGATCAATCCATTTCTTCCCGAAGGTATTGTAAGAGGATAAGTAGGCTATTGGAAGTCCCAAATTGACCTTATGGCTTCCGATAGATGGTGTTATTAGCACATTGTTAACAATGGACTTAAAATACCCAGACCAGAGACGGACACAGTCTCAAAACTAGAGAATACCAAAATTGACATTTTATTTACAGAACACGAATAACAACTTAAAACAAACTAATAATAAAACACAATTGTACTACTAATCACTTTAGTTTGCAGTTGTAAAATATCGAAATATTCGCGTAGATTGCCAATTCAATACTGACTCGGGTCGTGGTTCTAACCGGTCTTATATAGTGCTTCTTCTACTGAAACATCAAGAATGTTCGAGTACATGCCGGTCCCGACTGACTAGATAAAGAAAGTTCTAGCATGGAAATTTCTAGAAAGATGTTGACTCTTCTAGTTCTGCTACTCAATACTAGATAGAGCCAACGGTAACTCACCATGTACCAGGCATTAATTATGACGCGCAATAGTTTTCATGGTTATGAGGGACTCACTGCCTACCGGGTGAACCTAAGTGTTACCCACTAAAAACCGCCTTTGGGGACTGGCAACTGGCTGTTTAAGCTTCTTATGCCGTATCGGGAGCGACCCTCTTTTGGGAAAGGAGGGCGCAGGCGACTACGAGCCGCTGAGGGAGTGCCTACGAAGGCAAATTAATTATGAATAATTTAATTTAATTAGAGTTGGCCTGAGCCACCAGGAGGCAGTTCAGGTCGTTTGACAGTTTATGGGTGCAGTATATAGCGGGTCCGAGTGAGAGTTTCTCGACCTGCGGACTCGATAACAAGAGGGGGCGGGGCTGCATAAGTAGCTGCCTCACGAATAAGATGATTTGAGTGCGACTCTGAGGCTTTGAAGAAGTTCTCAGAGAGTTTTTTAAGAAATTGTTGAATTGTAGGGAGCTCTAGGTCCCGATGAAGGTCTGCATTACGGACGTACCAAGGTGCGTTCGCAGCTCGACGACAGAAAAAGTTTTGAACTATTTGGAGTTCATTAATAATTTTAGGGTCGGTGTGGGCAAAAATGGGGCCCGCGTAGGACATGATTGGTCGTATACAGACATAAAGGGTACGCTTGTTTCTGAGGGATATTTTACTGTGTCGGCCCAACATACTGTTGAGCCTACTTAGGTAAAAACGTGCGTGACGGGTTACTTTTTTGACGTGGGGCCTGAAAGTAAGCCTCGTGTCTAGAGTGACACCTAAATATTTGGCAGTCGTATGCCAGGGGACAGGGGTCCCTAGCATACGTATTGGTGGAGTGTTTTTGAGACGGCGTCGTTTATAATCGAAGTGAACGGCGGAGCTCTTCTCCGGGTTCACATCGATGCGCCATTTTTTGAACCAAGCTCCTAGGTCGTCAACTGGCTTTTGAACCTTGTTCCGTATGAAAGGTAGCGAGGTACCTTTACATTAGATACCAGTGTCGTCTGCGAAGAGGGAGAGTTGAACACCTTTCGACGGGATGGGAATGTCGTTGGTGAACAGGATGTACAGCAGAGGAGCAAGTACTGAGCCCTGAGGGACACCAGCTTTGATGGGGCGCTGTGAAGATAGCGTGCCTCCGTGTCTAAAACGAAAGGTACGATGCTTTAGATAAGAGGCTACGAGACGTACTAGACGATCGGGGAGACCTATTTTGTATAGCTTGTAGATAAGGCCTGTATGCCAGACTCTACCAAAGGCTTTAGCTATGTCGAAAAAGACCGCGATGGTCTTATGACGACGAGGATAAAAACCGCTGAGGATATATTCCACAATACGGTGAACTTGTTGGGGACATGAGTGTTGCGCTCGGAAGCCGAATTGATGGGTAATGATAAGAGGGTCACCATCTGTGGGAAACAGATAGCGCCTTATGCGAGTTTGGATGACTCTTTCGAAGAGCTTGCCCATGGCCTTCAGGAGGCTAATGGGGCGATGACTGGAGGGGGAGGTTGAGAGGCTTGCCTGGATTGGTAATACCAATCACAGCTGCCTCTTTCCACGTAGTGGGAAAGTAACTAAGATTGAAGCAGGCGTTGAAGATAATAATAAAAAAGGTTAACACCTGCTCAGGAAAGTGTTTTAGGGCTTGGTTGGAAATGCCATTCGAGCCCGGAGCCTTTTTGGGCTTAAGTCCTTTGATGAGGGATGAAATCTCATCATTGGACACAGAGATAGGTTCGGAGGCTGTAGGGGATGAGGTCTGGCGGCGGACCTCATCCTCCACTGCCTGGACGTGTGAGGGGTCGACGGGTTGAGAGCTAGGAGAGCTTTGTGCGGCAATGCTATCTGCAAAGCACTCAGCCTTTTCCTCGTCCTCGAAGGCAACCGTACCGTCGGGACAGGAGAGAGGGGGGTTTGGGTGATAACGTCTATGCGGAGGGCTCCAGCCATCTGATAGTACGCTGTATGAGATGGAGAGATATTCTCCATGAGTTTACTCTTTTCGAGGTCTAGAAATTCAGAGAGGCGGAATCGGAGTTCTCGTTGAAGACGATTGGCCGTTCGCCTATATTCGGGGGTGTGATATTTTGCTGCTCTCCGGAAAGCAGCTTTCTTGGCTTTTAATGGGTTGCTATTATGTAGGGGAATCCCACTATTGTTAGCAACCGGGACAACTCTCTTCTCCTCCTTCTCCTTAAGGGAGGATTTAATAAGGGTGGAGAGTGAATCGACCGCGGTGTTGATTTTTTCGGGACTGTCTAAGTCCGACCGTAGGGAGATGGTAGAGTCCTGTGAGTCCAGAGCTTTAGCTAGGGACTCCTTGAACCCCTTACAATTAGTGAAGGTTTTCGTGTGTGTTGAGGGAGGCGGCTGATGGCCAAGAATGAGGGGAGACCGGTCGGTGATCGGATCCTAGATCGTCTAGTGTCTCGATTGCCCTGAGGTTGAGAGAAACTCCTTGGAGTAACGCAAAATCTAGTACATCGGGGGGGTGATCGGTGTTATCGGGAAAGTTAATAACACCGAGGGGACTATGGACGGTAATATCAAGAGACTGCGTGATATCGAGCAGTATCTTGCCACTAGGGGAGGTAAGTACGGCATGTCCATTCAGTATGCTTGGAGTTAAAATCTCCAAACACAATGACTGAATTGTCTAAAGATAAAATCGCCTCAAAATCTTTTTTGAAGGGATGGGTTCCTGAAGGGATGTAACAGGAGGCTATGAGGATGGACTGATGTCCAGTCAGCTAGCCTACATACCGTGGCTTCCATTTTGGTAAGCTGCGGAGTAGATATGGGCGAGCAGTGAAGTGTCTTCTTGTAATAGATGGCCGTTCCGCCGCCTCAGCGGTCGGGTCTGTCATTACGAAGAAGAGAGAAGTTTTTAATAGAAAGGCCTTTAGTGTCCTTAGTTTTGAGATTAGTTTCCTGTAGGAGGAGGAAATCGGCTTCACGATTCTGAAGAAAGAGCTTAAGTTCTGGGAGGTTATTTCGCAAACCGCGAATATTAAAGGATACAAGCGATAAACCCTTAGGTTTGATACGACCGTGAGACTTTGGTAGAGCAAACTGCTCTGTCATTGTGAAGTTAAGTTAATTAAGTTAACTTAACTTACAACGAGCACAAAAGATTATGATGCTCTGTAAGAGCGAGGAGACGGTCCTGAGGGGACCTCGCAGCGCGCAATTTGCGTGCTAACACAGCGATTTAGCCAACGTCGATATTCCTAATAGCGGAATACAACGTTTTTAGCTCTTCAATTGTGTGCTGTGATTGTTGTTGTTGTGGGGCGGAGGTTGTCCGCGGTGGGTCTGCCTTATTGTGGCCCCAGGGAAAGACTGGAGGCTGCATAGGCTTAGAGAAGCCCGGAGGGGGCCGAATAATGCCCTCGAGGGGGGCTTAGGAGGACCTTGAGAGGGCCGAGAGAAGCCCTGGTTGGGCTGAGAAAGGCCCTGACGGGGCCGTTGGTAGAGAGCCCACATACACACACAGTAGAGCCCACAGAGAGAGGACACATGCGGGTGGGGATTCAGCGTCTTTGGGCCGAGGACACTCTTTGGTGTTGTGGGGTCAAGGCACACACAAGGCACGACAAGGCACTTAACGCACCTGGTTGGGGCGGAGCAGTTGGCCGCCGCATCACCATATAGCTGGCAGCGGTGGCACTGCGCCGGGAATCCGCACCTGTGTGGGGGCTCAACCCTCACTCTCGACAGGCCACACACTGTGCGTACCTGCCAGAATATGGCTTTTGCCTCCGGCACGTTTGTTAGAATGACTAGGGCAAGATTGAACATTTTGCCCGTTCTGCTGTGCATTTTGTGCACGGCTTCTACGGGGAAATCTTGGAACTTAAGGTCCTCAAGGATTTCCTCTTTGGAGAATTCGAAGGGGACGCCTCGGATGACGACCCTGACTTTTCGCTCTTTCGAAAGAGCGTAAGTTTGATAGGAAAATCGTTCGGCTGTGAAGTCATCGATTGAGTTGGGGATGATTTTAATAGTCTCCCCGAGGTTGATGACGTGGTCATATTTAATACCTGCGTCGTAGCAGGCTTTCGATAATTTAGTGAATTTTGCCTTGTCTTTTAGGAAGACAGGGGGCGGGACTTGCTTCTTGGCAAGGACTGGAACACATCGAGAGGCTAGCTTGGTCGTAGCGGGGATGTCTAGTGACATAAGTGGGACCGCGGCAGAGACGGGGGCTGCGGGGGCAGAGGCGGCAGCGGGAGCTGCGGAGGTTGTAGGAGCGGCAGAGGCCGCTGAGATACGGAGGGTGCCTATTTTCGAGGCGCGTTTACCGCTGCGCCTGGAGTTCACCGTGGTGAATGAGGAGTCCACAGTTTCGTCGGAGTCACAGGACTCCGATGAACCGGTGCCAGAATTGGTGGCGGGCCTCTTCCAGAAGGCCGACGGAGAGGACTCGGAGCGTTCGTACTCCATTTCTAAGGATGCAAAGGAGTTCCGTGTCTCTAAGTAAGTCGCAATTACGGGAAGCGGTTGGATTGCCTGAGGGGTAGGGGGAGTAACTTGGGCGGCGATGGCGGCGAGGACCGTCTCATCGAGGTTTAGGTTCGATCCAATAGTTTGGTTTAGTGCGGCGATGAGGGACTTAAGTAGGCTAACTGTGGACATTTTAAGGCAGTAGTTCTATGAACAGTGAGGATTGGGACGGGTCCCTGTTCTCAGTAGAACAGGGACTTGAACGCGAGCCGTACTACGATACAATATACACGTATAACAATAAATAATAACAGATAATTTTTTTAATTAATTATTCTTCACCATTTGCCTATATTACTTATCCTCCAGTGGTTTTGACCGGCTATGAGTTTTAACTATAACACACGCACACACACACACACACACACACACACACACACACACACACACACACACACGCACGCACGCACACGCACACGCACGCGCACGCGCACGCGCACGCGCACGCGCACGCGCACGCGCACGCGCACGCGCACGCACACGCACACGCACACGCACACGCACACGCCCACGCACCCGCACACGCACACGCACACGCACACGCACACGCACACGCACACGCACACGCACACGCACACGCACACGCACACGCACACGCACACGCACACGCACACGCACACGCACACGCACACGCACACGCACACGCACACGCACACGCACACGCACACGCACACACACACACACACACACACACACACACACACACACACACACACACACACACACACTCACACACACACACACACACACACACACACACACACACACACACACACACACACACACACACACACACACACATAGACACACACACACACACACGCACGCACGCACGCACGCACGCATACACGCACCCACGCACGCACGCATGCACGCACGCACGCATGCATGCATGCAGCACCCGCTGCAGTATAGCAGAGCTGTGGGCCGCGGGTCCTTATCCTCATAGAAGAAGTATTTGTATATATATATATATATATATATATATATATATATATATATATATATATATATATATATATATATGTTTGTGACTGAACTCCTCCTCAACGGCTCAACCGCTGTTGTTCAGATCCAGATATCGCCCGTGCGTAGCCAGGGCGGATCTAAAAGCGGAGGTATTTGAATTTTTTTTTCGGAATGGAGAGGAGATATGAACTTAGTAATACGATGTTTTTATTGTAGAGAGACGAACCCGAAACAATTACCGACGATCGACCTATATCCGGGGCGGAAACAACTGACAAATTGATGACACATGTTTTTGAGTAAGTTCTTATTTTCTTTTTTTTTTTCCCACCCCACAATACACACACACACACACGCATACAGGGATTTTCATACATTTTCTCAAGGACCTCCAACCAGATCGGAGTCAATTATTTGTAGGCCAAACAAACAAATACTTGCTCAGTGAGGGATTCGAACCCTCGGCACTCAGCTTCGAAACTCATTTCCAAGCCACTATGCCACAGAGCTGTCATAGTGTTTTATGCTTATAAATAAAATTTCTATGTGCGTGTGTTCGTAATTCTTCTCCCCCTAAACGGCTTGACTGATTTTGATGGAATTTTTATGGGGTACTTATGGGTTCTTAGCTATACAAGGACATAGTACAAATCACTGGTAAAAGGTCAGGTTGGATCGCTAGTTCTGATTCTGGTTGATGGATTTTGACACGGTACTCACCTTTATTCACCAGCATACACACTACAGCCTACTAAAACTCCACTGCTGAACTATATTCATACCCCTTCTAAATTCGTTCGCAGGAGCCATATTTGCGACAGTTGTCACAAGTTGTTGGTTTTATGATTTTTTTATAGAATAAAGGCGACAAACGAGCACACAGTCCACCTGATGGTAAGTGGATGCTGTGGCCCATAGACATTTATCCTCGATTAAGAATCAAAACGCAGATGCGTTGTCACCCCTGAGGACTAAGATGGAATGCCTCGTTTCCAGTAAAATAGAATCTCCGGATCTCTACACTCACAATACGAAACAGAGCAGTATTAAGATGCTATTTTAAGCTGGTATTCTGTGAGAGCGTGTTCTTTCCTCGTTTGAAATATAGTTGCACCATGGCTTTATCACGTAAACAATAATATTATATTAATTAATATTTATTTATTACTACTACTACTACACACACACACACACACACACACACACACATATATATATATATATATATATATATATATATATATATATATATATTAATACAACCAAAATTAATTTGACAGAATTACAGGATTATTTGACATCCTCTTATCGAGTTTAAATCAAAGATTTAATGTGTCTACTACTCTTTCAGCTTACTCACTCCATTGAAGTCTTTGCACATCGCTTTGGACAACATCCTTCTCTTCAATTTCCCTCCATCTGGTACCTGCGGTGCCACAATCTTCGTTTCGAGCCTCAAGAACTACGGCGAAGGGAAAGTCAAAATGGAGCTTGGAGTCAGTCGATGGAACTTCTTAAGAGAAGAAGATAAGATCGACGTGGACTTCAATTATGCAATAAGTTTTTACATGTAAGATATTACGTGCTGTTGGATCCTCTATTTTCTTAGTTAGATTAATAATCATATTTCATATTCATAAACACTTGCGCCTGCCATGTCTGAGTGGTAGGCACAGACAGTGGTGGTAGGCACAGAGAGTGGTGGTAGGTAGAGACTACAGACTTCCAACTGGCATGATCTGGACACACCTCTCTCATCTTCTTTACGTCCATATTCCTACTGTGACGGCCCAATATTATTATTAATAATTAAATTCAATATAAAGGGGCGTCAAAAATAGTCTTAAAAGATATATATTAAGCAATTAAGTTAAATTAATAAACATAAAGTAAATATATTTCAGACATTATCCCAATAACATAGTAAATTAAAGAAAAAATTGTTTTTCGTAATAAATAAATTTATTTAAAAACTTGAAAAAATATTTAAAATAAGATAAATAATAGAAATACAAGTCAAAAAATATTATAAAATTAAGTTAAATAACGTTTATAAGTTAATTAGAAAATTTGTTAGAAATTGTTTAAGTCATGGGAGGTGTTCACGTATAGACGTCTTGTATGGAGGAAACTGCCGGAGGTACATACCTGCAGTTGTACATATATATGGGGTGGTCGGGAGCCCGACTGCCTGAAGTACTGTAGCACAATGACTAGTCCTATATTAGGGACTTATGATAATAAACTTAATGGTAATGACGCAATACAATAGAAGGTCTCTATGATGAATATGCATTAAAATAGTAGGGTCGTGGGTTCGAACCCTATATATTAATGACTTATGTAACTAAGGTCTATGATACAAAAACAATACTATAGAAGGTCTCTATGATTAATATGCATTACAATAGTAGGGTCGTGGGTTCGAACCCTATATATGAATGACTTATGTAAGTAAGGTCTATGATACAAAAGCAATACTATAGAAGGTCTCTATGATTAATATGCATTACAATAGTAGGGTCGTGGGTTCGAATCCTATATATGAATGACTTATGAAAGTAAGGTCTATGATACAAAAGCATTATTATTGAAGGTCTCCTTGATGCATAAGCATTGTATGGGGTGGTCGGGTGACCGACTGCTCCTAGTACTGTAGCAAAATGACTAGTCCTTATTAGGGACTTCAAAAGGAATATTATGGTGGCGTGTGTGCTGCTTCGCGAGCAATTGGTCCGAGGTAAACTTGGACTCGCTAACCGATGTGTCCTAGACATATCATTTTAGTGCTGGTGGTAAGCGGGTTTGTTGTAGCAATACGGCTTTCCCGTGGACATCGCACATCCATACCGTTTGTGGGCGACGTCGTTGCGCATAGCGATGTGTCGTCTATCTTTCGGATTGGGATGATGAGTGTGTTTGGTAGCACTTTTAAGTGTAGCAGGCATACTCAACTTCATGTCTTAGTGCATTAACGCTATGATACGTGGAGTTTTGTTCATTGGCGTCTTAGTAGCGTGCTACTATGATACGTTGGTGATATTTTTTATATAACAACAATAAAAACTTTGTTGCCAGAATCGATAGGGATCACGTGGGTGTGTTGTGAGGGGGCGCCACCCGTATGATAGTTGCATCGATGCTTACTGCTACTTGCGGTATTGCGTCTTGTGATGGATCAGCGGGTGTGCTGCGCCTGATTCGACGCATTCTTCTGGTTGTGGTCGATGGAGGTATACAATTAACATCTTAGTGCCGGTGGTAAGCGGGTTTGTTGTAGCAATACGGCTTTCCCGTGGACATCGCACACCCATACCGTTTGTGGGCGACGTCGTTGCGCATAGCGATGTCTCGTCTATCTTTCGGATTGGGATGATGAGTGTGTTTGGTAGCACTTTTAAGTGTAACAGGCATACTCAACTTCATGTCTTAGTGCATTAGCGCTATGATACATGGAGTTCTGTTCATTGGCGTCTTAGTAGCGTGCTACTATGATACGTTGGTGATATTTTTTATATAACAACAATACAAACTTTGTTACCAAAATCGATAGGAGTCATGTGGGTGTGTTGTGAGGGGGCGCCATCCGTATGATAGTTGCATTGATGCTTACTGCTACTTGCGGTATTGTGTCTTGTGATGGATCTGCGGGTGTGCTGCGCCTGATTCGACGCATTCCTGTGGTTCTGGTCGATGGAGGTATACAATTAACATCTAAGTGCCGATGGTAAGCGGGTTTGTTGTAGCAATACGGCTCTCCCGTGGACATCGCACACCCATACCGTTTGTGGGCGACGTCGTTGCGCATAGCGATGCGTCGTCTATCTTTCGGATGGGGATGATGAGTGTGTTTGGTAGCACTTTTAAGTGTAACAGGCATACTCAACTTCATGTCTTAGTGCATTAGCGCTATGATACGTGGAGTTTTGTTCATTGGCGTCTTAGTAGCGTGCTACTATGATACGTTGGTGATATTTTTTATATAACAACAATATCAACTTTGTTACCAAAGTCGATAGGGATCATGTGGGTGTGTTGTGAGGGGGCGCCATCCGTATGATAGTTGCATTGATGCTTACTGCTACTTGCGGTATTGCGTCTTGTGATGGATCTGCGGGTGTGCTGCGCCTGATTCGACGCTCTCTTGTGGTTCTGCTTGATGGAGGTATGCGGGTGGTGATGTCTGCTGGGATGTATGGGGGACCTTGGAATAGTGTAAGCCCGACGATAGTCGTATTGATGCTTGTTGCGTTCTGCAGCATTGCGTCTCTGCGATGGTTGTTTGGTGGGACGCTATTCTCAATGGCGCTCTCTGCGTCTTGGTTTGACTTACACCTAAGTAGCTTTGCCCAAGTCGGGTCCCTTCATTGCGGGGCTGCAGACTGTCTGCCCTCCACGATGTTTTATATAACAACATAATAATATATCTCTGTAACTTTCCCACCTTTGAATTATTGAAGGCAACTTGTTGGTGGGTGAGACAAACATGATCGAAAATGCATTTACTCAACGTCAGTGACACAAACCCTTTCTGATGGCGAATTATTACTCATCTTATAACTGCCTTTTGGCTATATCTGCCGTTGTATTGGTTGGTGGAGCATATGTGTCGACCTCATGCAGGTGGTAGCTGGCGGGAGGATCTGAGGAGACTCTCAAGGCTGCGGCCGAAAGCCGCACAACGTGGGACCCCATTCCCTTGAGGTGAGCGGTAGACTCATGACACGCTCTGCGGCTAGTAGCCGTGCTGATCATGCAATTGGTGGTGATGCCATACACTTACATCACGTCTGCAGGAGCGGCGGTCCGGCGGTGGTGGCGCTCACGGAGAGTTTACGGCCAGTGTGCCTATTTGCCTAAACCGTGTGACGTACATTCACTGTGGCTGGATTCGTTCGTATTCTGTATGGCGTTTACACGCATTGACATGCGCGACTTCGGTCGATGTTTGTGCTTACGCACTAACAAGCGGCCAAGCCTCTTTTTACTGGTTCGCCAGTTATTTTGCTGTGGACTACGGTCCAGTTCCCGAATTAGCGTTCCCTACGGGGGGAGTGCATCAAAATGGTTGGCACTCACCGTGCACGGCGTTTGTGGGGCCGTGTACCTCCCCTACATTTTTTTAAATAAATGTAGGAGAGCGAAGCCCTTGTATCGGGTATTTTTTGTATAAATATATTGTGAGCCTTTTCCAAGCGGGAAGGGATAAATAATAATAAATTAATAATGTCAACCTGATACAAGTGGAATAAAGACGTTTTACGTTCTTAACGTTTCTCGAGCCCTGTCTTCGTGAACGTGGTTCACTTAGCTTATAAGGCACTACCAACAGCTTTTAATTGCTCTAGTGAATATTCATTCTTCCAAAGGACACCTAAAAGAACTAAGTTACTAAACAAACACAACGTAAGTAGCTACACGGGCTCCACCCACTCCCCTGTTCTCCTATGTATTCTATGGTGTAACAAGTGAACGAAGTGGAAGACTATGGCATTGATGTTTTACAGAAAATTTTAATTAAATAAATAAATTAATTAAAATCTATCGAAATACAAATCATATCCACCTACTTACACCAATTACCACATACTTTACGAACGGCAATAAAACAATAAATTTAGTAGGCATCTTTGACCTTGTCACTTCGCAGGGATATGATTTGATTTACGATAGATTTTAATTTACTTATTTATTTAATTAAATTTTTTTGTTTTAATTTTTGTAAAATATCAATGCCATATGCTTCTACTCCGTTCACATGTTGCACCCTATTTTTTTCCATACGATAAAAAAGATCATCCAGTATATGCACGTCAGTTAAGGGTACTCTTAATCTGGCATATCTTCAATTTATCGCCAATTTGGTCGATAAACTTTCGGTAATGCGTCCCTTCCTGACTTTGCCTTTCACTTTTGCAGCATAAATTTACTTTTGTCACTCTTTTCTCGTTCATTCTTTTCACATGACCAAACCACCAAAGCATTCCTTTCTTATATCTGGTCTGGTCACATTCATATGTCCAGTCTCAACGAAGGACAGGATTATAGTGCACCAATGTGTGCGTATGCACAGGTGCACTCTCATAGTCTGATAGGATGGAATCAAACACAGCCGGAGAGAGATCAGACGTGAAACACCGCCAACTTTCAGACTCCGGGCTGCTACTGAGCATTTTTTGACAGGAAAATCCAATAACTGATTTTGGCTCGACACGGGATTCAAGCACAGAGGACCTCATGATTTACAATTACGTTTACGTAGAAAAATAGTACTAGACCAACAAGGCAGCAATAACTATATACTAATCAGAGAGCGCCGTTTGTAGTCGGGATGACCGATTTTTTGTTTCGAATCGATTTTCTGGATCGTAATTGATCATAATCTCGTGAATCGAAAGAATTTAATCATATTGCATTGAATGATCTTATTCGATCTGGGAACATCGTATCGCAATTTCATAAAAATAAAGAAAAGCACAGTATGCATGCAAACTTATTTATTATTTAACAATTTATGTACACACAAAGTAATGTTACAATGAAAAATAAAAAAGATATTTTGTACAAAGACACTGCTTATTTCATACTGAAATTTCTTCCAGCAGGCCTGATACTGGACAGATTCAAAAAGAAGCAGATTTAGTTTGCACTCTCACAACAAATTTTATAATATTAATATACTTAATATAAAATAATGATAATAAAAACATATACATATATCCATACATACAGACATGCATATACCTAAATACACTTATTTATTTTAACAATGCCTATTACGGTATCCAGTGAGGTTTTTCAATTATTTTTGAAAAGTATAAAACAGGTCTTACAATATAAATACCATCTATCTAAATTTAAACCCTTCAAAATTAATAATTTTGACAGCCACACTAAATAGCCTATTACGGTATCTGTTAATGTATTTCTAACTAGGAAAAACAGCTGTTCTAAAGGAACCAATGTTGCAACAATTGTCAGATACTTCAATTTTGTTTATTTGTATAGAAAAAAGATACAAGAACTTTCTTCACTTTTGCTTAGCTTAGAATAAGTGCCTATGTGATGACGTCTGAGATGATTTTTTAAATTGGTAGTATTTGTACTAGTTTTAATCATATGTTTACACATTTTAAATTGTCCACTCATGTCACATTTAATATTAAAAAGCCCAAACGTTTGATTTGGTTGGCGGAGCCATATTAAAAGTATTTTAAAATAATAGTTTACGCTCACAGAATAGCTAAACTTTTCGTATCACAATAATACAAAGAATGAAAGATCATAGAATACTGACATAGGTACCGAATAGTAAAATAAACAAAATATTATCATACGGCAGGTATGTTCATATTACATACATTACCACTTTTGATGTAAATCGAAGCTACTCTCATTCAATGTGTAGGTGGGTAATCTTACTTTGTTTTAGTTATTCTGTCCCCTCTCCGACAATACGACAGTTAT